CTTCTTCGAGCTGCAAAAAGGGAAAACACTTGGAATAGAGCCTTTCATTTCTAAATAAGGAAATGATTTTCTTTAGTAAAAAACACCAAAGAAGTGATAAAAATGAAGACTGAGTGCAAAGGATAACATTTTGAAATGGACCGATAGTTCTGTGCCTGCTTAGAGTAAAGACTGCTTTATACATTCACGTGGAAAAGAAACTAGATTGCGTGACGAGCCCAGCGAGGCTACTCTAGTTACGCCTATTTTCTAGTAGTCACTTGTTGTGCTGTCGTGACTGCCGTACACCTTCGCTGAACAGAATTGAAAGAAAAATCACTTCATTTCTCCTTTTTACAGCCATACCCTTGTTTTCGAATCCACTAACAGCACAAGAGAGGATCCAAAAAATATCAGAGTCCACATAAGCTAAATGACATCCACAGTTCCAAAATAGGACAGGAAACACAACTCAAGAACTACGCAAGACAAACATGCACGAGGCACACCTAAACCAAATATAGTTTCAGTGCTGATAAAACTGCTGTCGATAAAACTGAAAGAGAATTTATACAGTGGCTATCTCGATCCATGTAATATGTCTATCAGTGTCAGGACTATCCTCTACTTGAATAGCTAAAGACAGTATTCATTTCGGAGAGGAATATGGTAGATGTTCCTTATAAAAATTACGCGAATATATCTATTCCATGTTCCATTTTAGTTGCTGACGACGGCTAAGAAATAACTCATGCACCGAGGCACTACACTGTTCATTTAAAAAAAAAAAAAACATTTAGGTAAACTTCCCTGCCGTTTCCGTTGTAGTTTGCTGATCTGAAGCTCACCAACTAGATATCCGCCAACTTCTGATATTTCACTTGAAAACTCTGCTCGTTTTAACTTTATTTTCTCATAAATATAACGCAATCACTGACTATTACTGACATTATTCAATCAGGCAATTCTATCCACTATTACATTTGGCATAATTTTACATTGTAAACGTTGCGTATCACGTCGCTCTCTTACAAAGCGGAATTCATCACTTTACACGCAAGAATCAAATCACAACTGCACATTTTATGGAATGCGATCCGTCATCAGTCAGTCTCATTTGGTTAACAATAAGTTCAAAGTAAAATAATTTTATTTCAGTTTGCGTTGGTTTTTCTTTTGATCGAGAACATGTCTGAGCTGGCTGTCTAGATATCAACGAGCTACAGCTGAAATAAGCCCGGAATGTTAATGAACTAAATTGATTTACTACAGATAAATGCAACAGTATACAGTTGTAATGACAGAACTACTTCCGTGCAAAATAACTCCAGGGTGATCCTCAATTAGCGGTTCACTACGGCTATCAATCAAAACTCGACTGAGAAAAGTAAAAGAGCCGATTGGCCGATGATCAGATATGATAGAAAAAGAGAAGTCTGAAAAATTGCATGCCTACACGGTTGACATGAATAACTGAAGTATAAAACGCAAGACAATTCTAATCAATTGTTTCTATCTAAGATTTCTCTCTCACTTGCTTTGGTTAAGATAAAAATTCAGTATACCAGATGTATGTATTGAATCGGAAAACACAAATACACGAAACACTGAACTGAATTTCATGCAGGAACTTTTTTTCTCAATTGTCGTCGAGAAAAATTCAGCAGCGCCATTTAACAAAATACAAGGTGGACAACGACGGAACAAACACGGCAGATTAAGAAGAGCGCTGCAGATTATTAACAAAAACCCGTTACTATTTCCCTTAGCAGAAATAACAACAGCCCACTTGTAATACTTGTGGAATGATTTTTGACCAGCGACAATGTTCTGTTATTGTGGATTTACCCTGCGGGGCACGTGGCTTTACGGTATTCCCGCGCGGCAAAACGTGTGTTGCAAGCGCGAAGCTCGAGTAACACGAGACCGAGGCGTTTCTCACAAGCATGGTAAAAGTGTGTAGGATTTGGGTTTTTGAGGTCATCGTCGGTGGGACGATCCTCTTCTTATTGTTCAAACAGCGGCGTGTGACAAAGAAGTTAAAAATATTAATAAAAATAAAAATACTCTTTGGTATTCAATTCGGAATCTTCACAGTTCTCCGTAGCGCCAAGATTTCTGACTGATGTCTATGATCTGGATTAATCCCAGATAATATCTGGGCACTCTTCATGTCAACAAGTGGAAAACACTGTAGCCGCAACAGGCTTTCATGATCTAGATTCTTATCTGAAGATTGTACCCATAGCATGTGCTCTGAAACGATACCTAACGATATAACGAAACTTGGCTTCGTTTCGTTCAAAATTCCTTGCTACACAATCTAGACACATCTTTTTACCTTATAGCACAAACGACAGCTCAATTTCGTCTTTAAATCTTATACTATGAAGTAAAATATTTGACACTGATCTTCGCGGTCTCAGTCTGACGTTGGCCCATTTCATTTTGAAAGACCAATTACTTCAGTTTTTGGGAGCAACATTCTTTAACAATGCACAGCAGTTTAAGGCGATATTTCCAAAGGTCTATCCACTGCAGTCAAAAATTTCGCTAGGAGAAGAACGCCCTAGCTAAGAAGGCATGGAATTCAGTGTTAAGAAAACAATTACTCTATTTCGGTCCACGTCCGGTTCAAGTGCGTGTTTGTAAATGCATTTATAAAACTGCTTTGTAGGTTAGCTAGAATTTAGGAATGTAACAGTACGCTCCCTCAGTCAGGGATTAGATTTCCGTCACCTTGAAACTCAGCGCCGGATTCAACACGTCAAACAAAACAAAAGGAAATCTCTTCGTGCATTTTCAATCTCGCGCCTATATTGCGGCAATTTAGCGCCAATTAGTACCTTAATCGAGATCAATGGGCGCGTTGACAGATTCGGACCGCCTGGTATAAGCGTTCAGTCAAGCGATGAAAGGTTGGAGAATGATTTTATCACCGCACGCTCCTCTGTTTCCTTGTTGATACCTTGGAATGTTTACTTTACCTTCAAAACGTTGCTCGGGTTAATTGAATAATTTTACCAGCTGTGTACGCACCCGCAACTAATTAATCGAGCCACGTGGAGACAGATTGGAGCACTTTCAATTAAAATATCGAGTCGACGCGTGAAAGGGAGTTGTTAAAACAACACGCGCGTCATTTTTCCTGAGCAAACTGAGAATTCCAACAAAGCCATTATCTTCCGGTCCGCACAAGCAAATATGATTTTAAATGTACATTGCCACCCGAGATTGTTGTCTCAGGGTAAATGTTTTTCGTCTAAAACTACTTTGCCATATGTGATTTTGCGACCGACGGAAAGAAAGTAAATCCCTCAACAAAAGAAAAGCAAACAACCTATTTAACGCAAAGAAACAGGCTTGGCCGGGAATATTAACACCTTCTGCCTTCCGCAACCTGACTCCTGCGGTTTTGGGCCACACAATGAGCGCGCGTTCTTCATGGAACAGTACAAAACAAAGGATTAAGATCTGTTTTTACCACGGAAAACTCACAAACATTAAAAATCTCACGCTTTGCTCACCACATTTTTTTTAAAAAAAAAACTTTATGGACAAAAATCTTCAGACAACTACAACTTTTTTTTTTGGCTAAAAGAATCTTTTAAGAACGCTGCACATCAAGGCTGAGAAAGGCCAAAAACGTAACCGTGACGACATACGTATCTGAGCGAACTAAAATGCCTGAAATTTGAGTAAGAATTGAATTGTTAAAAAAAAATACATGTGCAATATGAACAAAATGATCAACATTTGTTCACATCCAAACTAACACCATCACCTCACAGTAACACAAACATTCGTGAACATACCTACATACATGTACAATTTAAAAGCTTTTAGGAGCAATTTACCTCGATAGATCTTCAGCTTGTGTTAAAAAAAAAACTGACAAAATGAGGGTCAACTTAAAAACAGGCATTTCAGGTTTAACTTAAAAATCATGCAAAACTTTATCAGCATTCAGCCTCAGCGCAAAACTTAAGACGTACTTTAACAGCTTTAATTAGAATTCCTAAGCAGGGAATTAACTCTAAAGATAACTATCGCTTGCGGTCATAATGTCGAATTCAATTCATGCTGAAAAAAAGATGCTTGCTTAATTTGCAAATTGCGAAAAAATGAGATACAAGCAACAGAGTGCATTTTGTTAATAATTCAACTACGAATTCTGGACGACACCCAAGCTTATAGTATTGCTAAAAGAAACAACTGAGACAATTAGTCTCACTCTTTGCTTAATATCACCTTTTTGCTGTCTGTCATATTTTTAGGGTTTGGAGCAATTTTTAACGAAGTTTTTACCTTTGGATGAGTTAGTGTAATAAGAAATAAAAGAGTTGGAACTTCCAACAACTTATGGGCAAATTATTTTCCATGGAAGATAAAATGTTCAACATGTTGCAAGTATTATGTGTTGGTTCATATAAGGATGCTCACTATCCACAAGGGCTTCTCATTGGTTAGAATGGCATTGGAGATTTAGGTAAAAAAAAAAAAAAGAAACAGCAAGAAATACTGCAAATCCACATAATTAAAATTAAGTAATTGTATGAATCTGAGTGCAAATTTATAAAAATTTATGCTGCTGATGATATTTAAAACTTCCCTCAAACGTGCATTGAGCCTTTAGGGGAGAGTGATTTGAAAGAATTTTCACGTTTCACGAGCAGCATAAATCCTTAATTGCTCGCGTTTTCATATGATGACTAATTTATCACATGACTGAGAAAATTATGATTTCACCTGTATTAGTTTATACTGTGGTGCAAATTAAGTATTAAATTTAACGATAAATTTGATGGCTCTTAGCAGATCAAAATGCAGTAATTTTCTCAGTCAAATAATAAAGCTTGTTATCAAGTCACAAACTAACTAACTGACAGATGGAAGGACAGATGGACGGATGGATGAACGGATGGACAGATGGACAGACGAACAGATGGATGGACAAGATGGACAGAAGGAAAGAGGGGTGGACTAACTAACTTCGCTATCAATTTAAATAACCTACTAACCATAGGTTGGTCAACACAGGCCCAGCTGCATTTGACCATTGCACTGAATGTCTCCAGCATGTAAGACTCCACTGCCTAGAAAGTCAGAAAATTCAATCTAAATTCCAGCATGCCTTTCATCAAACAATCTGACAGGTAGCTATCAGATTTGTGATATTGGGTGGCCACATACCTGGGTAAAAGAATCAGATGAAACAACTGTCAGTCACTGATGACAATGGCAGCCAGAGTTTGAAACCAGAAAATAATTTGACTTTGTCAGTGATCAGGACAAGTGATTCTGATTGGCCGCTATAACTAAATGTTAAATCACCTGGGGCTGACAAGACGGCCGACAATAAGGCCAGAACCTGCAATGGAGACGCTTGGTTGATCGAAGGCACCATGTCACAGATGGCCATGCAATGAATGAACAGATTGCTGGCCTTAGCCGCCACCACAATGTTGCCTGCTATGAAACAACCTTGTGCAGCCTGTATCATACACCTCAGGAAACTGGGAGTGAACTGAACGCTTGCAGGCGCTCCCAATATCATGACATTTTCAAACCTACGGAGGGCAAAGAATACACTATGACCATGAATCAATGCACTGGAAATGAATTGGAAAGATTATTGCTTATAACACATTGTAGTTAACTATGCTGTAACTGTAGCCTGCAGTGCAGGCATTTTCTATGTGTTCACAAATTAGCGGTATTAGCTCGCGATCAAGTAGATTCGCCGCCATGTTGGTTTAGAGGGCTCCCCCATTACTCCTCTTTCAGCCTCACCCCCACTCCCTAGGATGCCTTTTCATCTCTCCCCAAGCCTCTTCCGAGTTTGAATCCAAGATGGCGCTTGCTTGGTCAAAATGCGCTCGCTCGCCAAAATACGCCTGCATTTCAGGCTACTACAACTGCATATAACATGAGGAAGCCTAAGAAAACTAAGACCTAGGACCCCATCTTAGTGTTTGCACTAGAGAAACTAAGACCCCAACATAAACCAATGTAAACCATCAAATTATGGGTTACATCACATTTTAACGCTGTGTAAAGGTTTGCTTGCGTAGGGACAGAAAAGGACAGTTGTGTGACAGAACAGGATGCTAAGGGTATCTTTGCAAATCTTGAACTAATGCTTTACAGCTGTTATAAATAATGCTTGACTCTGACATTCGGCAAAGCATCTTTGCTAAGAAATTGCTCTGAATTGAGGTGGCCTCAACTAAAAGCCTGATGGTTTCTAGAGGTCACCTCGCCTCACAATAAAACATTTATAAATACTGTATATTAAGTAGAAAGGCAAATAAACAGAATGAATGTGGTCACTCACGGGAGGTTAAAAACAAAAGAAAATTTCCAACTTTTAGCTCTAAAAGTGGAGGTCGAAGCTTGTGAGAGGTGGTTGCCTTACAAGAGGTTCCAAATATAATGCTGTGACTGGGAAACTTTTGGTACTTTGGAAAAAAAAAACGATCGCTGAGGAGAGGTGGTCACTTAGGAGAGGTGGTTGCAACCAGGGATTTGAATGTTTTTACTGAAATAAATAGTTTAGGGTTTATCTCTGTAGAGTGCTGTTATGTCATTATTTTGTTATTTCACCACCTAGTAGAATTTCAAGAAATTTATTAATAAGTCATGTTAGCATGAAAGTTCCATGTCACGTGGTGGCATGATGTGTAACAAAGCAACATCAAACAACCTTTAGTCCCTACACAAGGAAACCTTTACATGGCATTAAAATGTCATGTACCCAATAATTCAACGGTTTACATCATTTTACGCCCAGAGTACAAAAATTAAGAGGAGTCTTAGGTCTTCGGTCTTAAGTCTTTGGTCAGGTTTTGTGACTCCCATATCCATAGTAAGAAAGTTATAACAAGTAGCAAGTAATCAATAGGTAGTCAGTTAGCCTAATTGTTAATTGATCATCAATAAACCAATGACTCATTCAACAGTTTTTATATCTCCTTGTTCTTAATATGTAAACAAGTCTCTTACCTGATATGAAAATTAATTCATTACTTTTGTTTTTAATTTGGAAGCGGCCCATAATTTTGTCATAACCCTTCCAGAATTCAAGTATAGGGCAAGAATTTATGCACGAGAATAGTGGTAGTTAAGTAGTGTCATAGATTAAGTAATTAATGAGTAACCAGCAAGTAATCAATTAGAAATCAATAAGCTTACCATTAATGAATGACGATTGACATCAACAAGTTATCAATGATAGATAAGTAATCACAGGGCCACATCATTAATTTTTGCTTTCAATTAGTCATCGATTATTCATTAACCAAAAACCAATTCATTGATCATCAGCTTTTTTTTTAATCAATGGCAGACAGAAAAATCAGCTGATTATTATTCAAGATTTCGCATCGATTACTCCTTGATGTCATAAATCATCAATTGATTACCTGCCGTACATGTGAGAGTACAGTGTATGTTCCTTGCCCACATCAAAGCACATAATGACTCCGGCCAGGGCTCTAGCAAGGAGATCTTGACCCCAAATTCAATATAATAAGCGCTCACATGAACTTTCCCTCTATGTTTTCGTGTCAAGAAAGCCGCGAAAGCTGCCAACTTACTTTTACCGCTGACCACAATGTAGCGTTGGATGATTCAACTCGCAAGGATACACGGGAAGCGATCTCTTTCCTTCTCATCGCCATCATGGTTAGTATCGCAAATCCGAAGTCGAATCTTGTATCCAACTCATCTGTGACAATCACGCTGTTTTTCGTTGAATAAAACTAAACCGATGGGAGTAGTGATCTTTAAACTGTTGCACTGTTGTGTTATTTTTAGGCTCGTGGTCCGAAGAAGCATTTAAAGCGCTTAAATGCACCGCATCATTGGATGCTTGATAAGTTGTCTGGTAATTTTGTAAGTACGCCTGCTAAAATACGTTTATGTGTAGATGGGGTTTATGCGAAACCTTTTGAACAGTGATCTGGTATTTGGGTTAATCTAGATTTAAATGAGAGATCTAAGTATTCAAATCTAACAGGTTGCATATGTATCTGCAAGTCTGAATTGAAGTTGTGGTTTGCAAGTTAAAATTGAAAATCATGATAAAAGATTGAGCTTGAAAAACGTGAATATTAGCTGTATACTTCTGCTCGCCTAAATCGACATCTCGCTGAAGGAACTGTTGGCATTTTGTATATCTCAGCATTGAAAACTAAAATTTAATCTGATAATCATTGAAGTGAAACGGCCAGCTTCTGCTTACAAGTATGGCCTTACAAGGTCGTCTTGATTCAAGTCCATGGATAACACACGAGAAAATTGCCATAAAAAATTTACTGAGCCGTGCTTTCATGCATACTGTTTAGAAAATTGAACTGTGTTTGTAACTTAAATATGTTGATAAAAGCCATTGTTGTAACAATCTTAGCATTCTAAAGCAACACTTTCTTGTGGAACTGTTTGTCAAATGTAGGTCATTCTTTCAAAGTCAGCAGATCAAACCCCAACATGACTGCATTAAGGAAGCTACATTTTAGGCCTTTCATATTGGTGTTGTTTTGAACTTGTTAGGAAATAAAATTTGGAGATTAGTTTTAAATTTGATAATCTTAGCATAAAAGATTAAACTGATAGTAGCTTCATTTGAAATCCAACAAATGTAAATATTTTTCTTTCCAGGCACCACGTCCATCTGCTGGTCCCCATAAGTTGCGCGAGTGTTTGCCATTGATTGTTTTCCTCAGGAATCGCCTCAAGTATGCCCTGACTTATGATGAGGTGAAAAAGATTCTTAAGCAGAGGTTGATTAAGGTTGATGGAAAAGTCAGGACTGATGTTACGTACCCTGCTGGTTTCATGGGTAAGGGATTTGTTTGTACTTTCAATCCTTAGAAGATTACTCTTATAACACAACCATTTCTATCCTGGGGGTTTCATTAAGGGCTGGGCACCCGGCAAATTGACCGGCTGTGAAGATGATTTTACCTGCCTGGTCTGTCTGGTCATCTTAAGGGAAGGGTTTTCTTATAAAGAAGCTCAGTTCAAATGGTTTTCCCCGCCTGTGAAAACCAGTTGCCCCTCTGCTCAATACCTTAATGAAACCCCTGCTATCCCCTCAAAAGAAAAGTCTGAGATTCAAGCCAGTGAAATGTGGAATTACAGAGATCTGTGTAGCATGGTTAATTGGTTACTACTCGATCACAATTTTTAAATGCCAGTAGCAATCATTTGCACACTGTATGAATCTCTGTGAAGTCAAGGTGCAGTGGCCTAATTGTTAGTGTGACAGGCCCCCTGATCAAGTGGCCCAGGCTTGCAGCACAGGCTTGAGCCCTGGCCGGGATGCTTGTGTTGTGTATTTGGGCCTCCCTCATAGGGACCTCAATCTATTAGGGAAACCTCATAGAAAGGAATCTGCAGGGGAAGTAGCAATACCTCATTCACTGACAAATCTATTTCCAACTAGGCATGTTGAAAGGTCAATTTATAAATTAAATCTGAGTGTATTGACATTGATAAATTTATCCCAAACCAAACTTGAAAGGGAATAATATTTTCTTCATTGCTGCACATCATTTTAGAAACATTTTACAAAATCTAAAAATATGCCTTACATTGTTTTGTTTGTCCTAGATGTCGTCTCCATTGAAAAGACTGGCGAGAACTTCCGTCTTCTATACGATGTGAAAGGCCGCTTCACCGTACACCGCATCACTGGCGAAGAAGCCAAAGTAAGTTACAAGTGAAGCTGTAACCAAACTAACCGTAGAAAATTTGTATCCCAGTTTTGCAACCCTTTTTCTGCTTTGAAAGTCTGTCAAGTTGTAGAAAAAGTCAAAATACTGAGTAGCTGTTGTTACATTTATCAGCAGTTCAAGATACAAACAAGGTGAAGGGGGCAATTCTGCTTTACGTTCACCGTTTCACCTTGGGTTTATCCCTTTTGCAGTAAAAGAATATTTCACCACAGATTCCACTGCAATAACAACCATTGTACAATTGGAATAATTGTTTCTCCTTACTTGCTGTGTGTGAAAAGCTTTGTACCAGTAATATTTGACTGTAATCATTTTGCTATTTTGATCTTGTAAAGTTATTTTCGCTGAATGTGTGGCATACACAGTACAGTTGAATCCCGCTATAATGAACTCTCAGGGGAAATGAAATAGCAGATGTTTGAAATAGTTTTGAATTCAAAGTAATGTAGTTCGAATTAGTGGTCTTCAACTCTATTGCCTTTATACCATGTTTCTTTGCATCCTTGTACACACCTGTACTGTTCTTGAGGGCAATGGGTAACTCTACTAATATGTTTCTTATTAACTATTTCCATTTTGTAGTACAAGCTTGGTCAAGTGCGACGTGTAGCCACTGGTGCTAAGGGTATCCCTTACCTTGTTACTCATGATGGTCGTACCATCCGCTATCCTGACCCACTCATTGCTGTCCATGACACTGTGGTGTTGGAGATCAAGACTGGCAAGATCATTGATTTCATCAAGTTTGACACAGGAAATCTTGCTATGGTTGTTGGTGGCCGCAACATGGGTCGTGTTGGAATTGTTACCCATCGTGAGAGACATGCAGGTAGGTCGCAGCAGTGCTGTCCCTCTCAACAGGTTATAGATATCAAACAGCTGTAGTGTTCTGCTTAACATACCACTGCAGGCTAACTTTCATAAACCCAAAACAGTTACTGTTTCATCCAGTTGACTGTTAAGCAAATTTATAACGAAGAATGAAAACTGGTGTGTTTGTATGTAAGGTATTCTCACTCTATTTTGAATACTGTGGTCAGTTTGACTTAAAATTGCATTGGTGGACTTTTCTTGGTCAGAAAGAGTTCATGTGAGGGGCAGCCTTCTCTCAAAGGGATTTTTAGGATCAGTTCCTGCCTGTCTGATCATAAAATCTGAAAGAAGAGTTTTAATGAGGGGACCATTTCTCAAACAGTGATATTGTGTTGTTGAAAATTCTAACTATATATGCTCATGTTTAGGTTCATTTGACATTGTTCATGTGAAGGACAACACAGGCCATCAATTTGCCACAAGAATCAGCAACATTTTCATCATTGGCAAGACGAACAAGTCACATGTGTCCCTTCCCAAGGGTAAGGGTGTCAGGCTTACTATTGCTGAGGAGCGAGACAGAAGGCTGCAGGAGAAGGCCAAAATGAGCTCCATGTAAATTGCAACAGAAGGACCATTAATAAAAGTTCAGAATTACATCACATGACTGACTTGCATTCTGTTATATAGTTGTGTTTAGAAGGGGGGTGCAGGGGCAGTAATTTATGTAATTTGCATACTTTGGTACCAGTTTTTAGGGATTCTTGTATCCTTGACACGTCACTTGGTCATGGCAATGGACTCTTCATTTGTAAAAAGCAGCGGAATTGTTGTTTATTTCTTGCTATCAACTCTCAGCAAACTGACCACGTAGCCTCATAGTGCACACTTTTGTGATCAGCTCACTGCTGAATGTTAAAATGAGATTCACAGGATTGTCCTGGTGTCAAAATAGTGCTTGGGTAAAAGTATGCTGACAATGCTTTGAAAGTGTACAGTTCTTACATCCATCTTTCTTTGGACACTCTCCTTCAAGAGAAAGATAGAAATGTGGAAACTGTTAGAACTTTGAATGCACACAACAACATCCTCCTTAAGGTGATTCCCTAGTAAAAGAACCCGCCATAGATTTCCGATGAAACTTGGTATGCTGTTGTTACAGGACAAGGAGATATTAAAAACGTAGTAAAAAGAGGGGGTCACCGTGCTTGTTTTCACGCCACAATGCTGACAAATAGGGTTATTTAGGTGACTTTTGGTTATCTCCGTGTGCAACAAATAAGTTCGCATATTTTTCAATGCAACATGTTATCACAGAGTTTGACTTTCTTTGATTGTTTATTCATCTACCTCCCAGAAAAAAAGTCTCCAAATACCCTACATTTTTTTATCCTTTAAAGGAAACATAATTTGGAGATGTGCTGTGGGGCCTGTTATGTCTCCCTCTAGTATTTATTTGATTTGATCTGGTAATTTTTTTCTCAGTTATTAAGGATATTGTTCTCATTGTCATAATTACAATGAGAACAAGCTCGATACCGAAATGAATGCTCGTTTTCTCTTAAACGAACACGGTGACACCCACTTTTTATTTCATAATTATTATGAAATAAAAAGTGGGGGTCACCCTGTTCGTTTAAGAGAAAAGGAGCATTCATTTCGCTATCGAGCTTAGTTTGAGGGAAATCTCTTATGTTTTGTATGTGCACGCGCTCATGTGCACGTGCTAACAACTTGAAAATCGTGCGCAGTAGGGATGCGTGATGCAATACTAAGGAATCACCTTAACACAACAGCAGCATATACCGCTCCAATCAGAACCTTCGGGTCGAGATGCCTTATACCACTTGTGGACTCCCATCACTCTGCACATGCTCAGAGTCAAGTACAACAAATCTGACAAATCTGATTAGCTGAGAATACAAAACGATTACTCTGCGCACGCTCAGAAAATTGGACTTCCCCAGAGGCTTCGATTCTTGGCGCTGACCAAAAGGAGCGCGGCCTCTGGGGACGAGAATGCCCTGTGGGGGAAACTAAATATTTGTTAAATGGTACCATTAGACCATCAATAATACTAACAGCCCATCAGCCTTTGAGGAAGTCAAACAGCTTAAAAAGCACTCCAAATAAAAGCGGACGAAATCAAAAGTCCTCGTTTCGATTAGACTGTGCGCATACGTTTAAGTTCAATAACAGTCTGAAAAGTTTGAAAATGTGTAAAAGAGAGTAACCGCTGTAACTAATGCAGGCTCACCTTGAGATTCTGATCTTGATTTAGTCGTGTCCGAAAGACTTGCAAGCTTTCTTACACTCGCCAAATTTCATATCTTTAAAAGTGAAAAAAAAATTAATGTGTCCTTATGCATGCGCAGTATTGCGCGTAGGCGCGCGTCAAACGCAACCATTATTACGTCAGAGATGATTATGACGTCACAACATGAACACTGTCTTTGGAAGACAGTGGCGACCCGCAGAGTATGGAAAACTCTGCGGACAGGTTCTTTAAAGGTTTCTCACTCGAGGATTACAGGCTCCAAGTTCTTGTCAACAGCCTAGAAAAGCAGAGAAAGCAATGCCTAAATCGATTGAAAGAGGAGACTCACGTGTTCAAAATGTCGGTTCGTCTGCCGGTGAGACGCGGAGAGGAATACTGGAGTCAATACGGAGAAAACTTCCACGCCAATGGAGATAAAAGAGAAAAAGCGTCAGTTACGCATTTGAGTGCAGAGCACAATAAGGGAGGTCCGTTTACTTTCTCTGCTTATTTTTTTTATAATTTTTAGTCTCCTGGTAGCAAGTTTTCTTTCAACTAGAGATAGGAAAGTCGAATTTTAAGCCTAGCCATTGCTTTGTGCCTAACCTTTAATTGCCCTCCTTGTACTGGTTAATCAAAACGTTAAAAGCTTCATTCACCGGACATATCACCATGTAATGGATAGCTAGCCTGCGTAGTTAACGTTCTCGTACGAACGAATGAGCTTTTACCGCATTCTTTCCTCACCCACTCAGGCCACTCCATTACCCTTTTCTTCTTTCGCGCGACCAACAGGCGAGAAATTTAACTCCTCGCTCGAACGAGACGCAGGTTAATGGATGGAAAACTGATCTTTTTTGTTGTTCTATTAACTTTCCACCGAATAGCGATTTATACGGTGCAGAGCGTTATTCATTCGTTGAACAGCCGGATCACATAAATATAGTGCCGACGACGACCCCGAATATTCACACCAATTCGTTTCTCTTGGAGGTCTCAAAAAATCGGGGATTCCACTGTATATAGGTTTTTGTTGCCAATTTTAATACCGTATTTCAGACTTAAAACACAGGGTCTGCGGTCGCCCTCTTTCAGAAACTAAAACAAATGAAAAAGGAACGAGGCCAATATTCAGCCATCTGGACGGATTGACCACAAAAAGATTTATTTTATGGCAGGAAAAAATGTTTACTTTTGAGACAAAACGGGCAATTCCGAGAGTGCAGGAATGTTCACTCAGAGAGCAAATCACAGCGCAGGATCTGGTTCCTGTTGTCCGCTCGTTTTTAACTTGAATGCAGTGCTTGTGGCCATACCTTTACGTGCCATCTGACCCAAAGACGGTACACAAATTTTATCACGGTACCCGATAGATTCTTAATGATAATGAAATTATATTTATTTTTTATTTATTTTGTGCACTCTTTCTATGCTCACAAGATCTGAACAGTATCAACACAGCGCATCAAGACAACACCTTCAACTCAAAACATCGTTCAGTGGTAATGTCATCAGACTCACCACAACACGGATCGGGGAATCGAAATGTCCAAAGAAATTCCCTTCAACGGATCAGAAGCAGAAGTAACAGAAAATACGATTCCAGCAAAAAACCCAAAGAATCCGGTTTAACACTACTGGAAATACTATGCGGGGATTTTGAACATGGCGTGATATTGCTGAAGAAGAACGACAGACAAAACGACTCCAGGTTTGGTAACACATCCAATGATTTGGGACATCAGCGTGATAAGCAGTCTAAGAAAGCTTATAAAGAGGGACGAAGAAAGAAACCGCCTCCTTCAGATATCTACAAAAGCTTGAAATCTGAAGGAAAGAACGAAAGCTTTATTCATGTTCGTTCTCAGACAAGCAACGAAAACAGACTTGAGGTTGCTCAATCTGAAGTTGGCGACACTAACAGCAGCAGTAGATCAAAATCAGTTAGTTTTGAGGCACTTAACTCTGACGATACGCTAAATACGTCATCGATTAGTACTTGGGGGTTCAGCTCTCAGGGAAGCGTCCCATTACGGGATGGGTCTGCACAAAAACTTAATTGGACTTCTAGCGATTCTGTAAACAGTTTTGGTCTCGGCCAAGTCGAAAAGAGTCTACAGTCACCCGAGAGCCAATCACACGAATGGAATTCTTCAAAGCAAACTCATGGGAAAATAGAATTATCAGCCGCAGAGAATGTGGAGCATTCGGTATCCTTAAATGAGAACGAGGAATCAATAAGCTCTAACCGCGCTTGTTTGACAAGTAGCTTAGAGGCGCAAGCGTGGGAACATCAGTGCAGGTTCGTGCATTTCAAGGAAGGTCGTAAACTGGCAAGGAAAAAGGGCAACAAGCAGGGCTCGGGTGTTGATATGAACAACGAGAAAGAGAAGTTAAACAGGATTAAAAGTCCAGATGTGAAGTTGTTTCAAGTCGATGTCCCACAAACTTCTCAGAGAAGAAAATCACAGGTAAACAAGCAGTTTGAATTTTTAATACTCTATAGACAAGAAAGCCTCAGAAAAGATGACTGACATCGTTAAATTAAAGAATAAAAGGTAAAGCTGCGCTGACTGAACTCTTTAAAAGCTGTTTCAATACTCCCTGGCTAGCTTTTCTTTAAGAAAGTCACAGAATAACTGAATCAGTTATACCGGATCAACAAAAGAGGAGTAAAAGTGTAAAAGACTATTCCTAAGGTTATTCCTCTCAAGTCATTTTCAGATCTCACCCCCAGTTTCGGAAATCCCAGGGGTTTTTGCTCACGCTGACAGCCTAGGCAGCTTACACGCATTTTCACCTTTTTCCACGAACACGTCCTTGGTAACATCCGCGGAAGAGATGGGTACCATATGTCTAAAAATAACTTGAGAGGGAATGGATTAACTTTCTCTCCGTTCAACCCGGCTCTCTCAGGATCAATTATCACTTTTCATTTTTCAATTTCTAAGTCCACATTTTATCAGACGTCATTATTTACGACAAACTCAGGCACGGTACTATTTAAAGGCATACACTCGACATACACAAAGAAATCGTTCAAATACACCACATAGGGGGGAATCTGTCAAGCTGTTCAAACTCCGGCAACGCAGAAAGTGTTTTCTTGAGGCGGGTTTTTCTTGGATGAGATCACCCTGCGATGAGGCGATTGTTTTTTTTTTGGAAAGGGAAAAGGAAAAAAGGAGAATATAAGGGAGGGAGGGAGGGTATGATCGTAGGTTAGGATGAGATGGGACGAACGGATTTTAATTCCATCTGCCATATATCCTGGCGAATGGAAGTTTCCTCGAGATAAAAGTCAGAAAAAAGAAGGGAATCTCTCTAACTCGCAGTGTGCTCTCTCCGCGAATGAGCTGGGGCCCATTTAGCTCGTGAGTGCTTCCTTGTCTTCGCTTCAGGAAGAAATAGACAGGGAGACGAGAGAGAAAATGGATCAATTTTTTGCCAAAGTTGAGTACACCAAGAACTTCCAACCGGGCAAGCTAAGATGGCGCTGTAGTAGTGGCAGCGAGCGGGGAGCGAGGAGATATGAATGGAAGAGCTCCCTGGAGGCGGGAAAACGACCACATGCAGTGAAGAAGCAGGGCTACCGCCGTGCTCAGCCCTGGCCAACACAAGTGTGGAGCTAGAGGGAATGAATTTTTTCAGTACGATTGAACTTTAAATGTTGTGTGTTTCGTTTGCATTCCATAACTTCAGCGGTAAACTTCTATAGCTTAAGAGCTAATTTCTCAGTTGCGTTGAGCTTAAGCGAAGTCATGTTAGATTTAGAGCTTTAACATAACAAATCCAAACAGTGAATGGCGGTGCGGTGTGTGAACTTTAGATGTTGCGCGATGTTTTGCGTAACTTGAACAATACCTAGGTTGTATATCGCAACTTTTATTTGGTGAAAAATGCACATTAAAAGCACTACAGCCTTAACGTTTTTCCACATTTCACCTTTTAAAAAAATGCCCGTCAGAGAAATGAGCCGTCTTCGTTCTCAGTTTTTGAGAAAACTTATTGTATCAGTGAATGAACTTTTGCGTGTAAAGCACCTTTCAACTGATTGTCGCTCGCTAACTGGTTAATAAAACCTCAACCTCCAACCTATCAGAGCAAACCTGTTGCTTTTCCAGCCAATTAGGCAAAAACAAAAATTTCATAAACCGTTCGAAAGAGAAATCACTTTAAGAACGCCTCTGCAAAACATCAAAACCCAATCAAAATACTTGATGCTCGAATTGTTTTAAGAGATATTATGACCCTTTCACCAACACAAACCAATAAAACCAATTATTTCATTGCATCTTTATTTCCAACTTGTTTTAAGGACAAGGCCCTGCTATCTTTTTCTTTCTTTCTTCCATTTGTAAACTGGCGTGGATTTCTCGTCTTTTTGTATTTTGTACCGTCTTCCCTTACCCTGAAAACACAAATTACAATAACTCTAATTAGACGACAGTATACCAACCGATGAGAAGAAGAAACCCGCCCGCTGTTTTCTTGTTTGTCTTGTTTTAATCGTAAGTTACAAGATACAAATTGATAACCCCCCACCCACCTCTTGCTAAAACTCTGGTGTGTGATGACCATTTAGATTCAAACCGCCTGAAGCGTTCTGCTCAAATAATGACCAAAATACTATCAAAACCCAGCTTTACTCTGATTCGATCTGAGTTTTATATTGAAGATAGCAGAGATTGAATAATAAAACTTTAAATAAATTTTTCAGCATCAACTGGAATATCGAACAGCTATTAACTCATCTACTTCACTTCTGTTCCTGAAATTTGAGCATGGAGGCAAATTGACTTCAAATTCTGGTCAGAGCAGATCAACGACTTAAAATTGTTGATGACCACATACCATGAGATGTTTTTGAAGTTCCAGTTCTTCAGAAACCTTTTGCATCTTCTTTTCCCGCTCAATTCTCTCTCTTAATTCTTCATAGCAACGGTGCCTCTGTTTCTCAAGTCTCTGTAAGATATTGTAATATTAATCCAGTCAGTTCAGAGAGAGAGAGAGAGAGAGAGAGAAAGACTCATCACCGCGCAAAACACCACTCAAAAATATATGGCCTGGGTTATTGACCAAGCTTGTTCCGTCAAGATGGCTGGATATCGGCCAAGTTCTTTTTTTCGCATGTTTATGGAACAAGATGCAGACGGGGTTCATATACAAAAAAAGAATGAGACCAAAATCAAGCCTTCTTGACCGAACAGGCTTGGTCAATAAAGGGTATATTAATGTTAACTGGGCTACAGAGTAAGTAGACTGGTCAAGTTATTTGACATTAAAAAGTGTGCTGGTGAAAAACGTAACAAAAGAAAATCATTTTCTTTCTGTCGTTTTTCATTAGCACACAAACATACTCATACACTGTTCTTACTGTAGAGTCAACCTGATCTACTCAATAACTCAGATTTCAATACCTTAACTATTTGATCATCTGGAGTTTGAATTAACTGTTTCATGAGTGTTTCTCTCTTGGGCCTGTTGTACGTTCTTGACACCAGTTCTGGCAGGGTGTCAAAATGGGTTGCAGCATCAAAAGACTGAGCTGAAAGACAAAATATGTCGCATGTTAATTTACAACAGTGTACAACTGGGCTGAGTGCTGAGATGATATAAATAATAATTATAAAGCTTACATGTGGTGGTTTAAAAATAAAATGTTTGACTACAGTTCCAGGAGGGAGGCGAGGTGGCCTCATGGTTAGTGCACTCAACTCCAGATCGAGCAGTCTGGATTCAAGCCCTGGCTAGGGACATTGTCTTGTGTTCTTGGGCAAGACACATTACTCTCACAGTGTCTCTCTCCACCCAGGTGTATAAATGGGTACCAGTGAACTTAATGGCTAGCATCCCATCCAGGGAGGAGTAGAAATACTCCTAGTTGCTTCGTGCTACTGAAATTGGGACAACGCAAAGAAGCGGCTGCCAGTTTGTTAACAATTGCACTCTGCTTGGCTAAGCACTATCTACTAAACAAATAGATTATGTGCTTGAGATTTCTATCACGTGATAGTTGATGAATAATCTAATTGTTATAATAAAGTGTATTATCGTTTGTCTCACGATGTAGTCACTTGAGATGTAGATCGCGACGTTTCGACTGCTTACTGCTAGTCTTCTTCAGGCGA